GAGGAGCAGGGTTAGCTTTTTGCCGCTGCGTTCCTCCGGATGTAGAGATCTGGGGCTAAGCTTGAAGGAGTTTCGAGGCATTTTCTTTAGTTAGGGCTTCAGTAAGGAGATTTATTATTGGGTAGCTCTGAAAAGTGCAGTATTATACGACAAGTGTCTTGCTGAACCAGTACGCAGAAATCCTGAGCTCTGAGGTACTTTAAGAAATGGACTGCCAATTATTTATGTTAGCATAATGTTCAGGAAAGGAACTTTCCCTTCATTCTTTGCTTTCTTTTATACCCAAAGGAATAAGCTGCTTTTATAATTTATTCCAGGCTTTGCTAGAACAAAAGTTATCAAGTATTTATCACAAATTTGGCCTCTGTCTCTGGCAACAGATGTCAGTCAAAGCTCATTAGTGGAGGTGGTGATACAGAAAGCAGCATTTAAACAAGTTATCATGAAAGCGAGGAGCGAGCGCAGTGCTCCTGAGCACTGCTGGGCTGGCAGGACGTGTGCCCAGATCCGCCACAGCAGCATATGAGCAAGAAAGGTTTGATGGTCGGCCATCCTGCTTGTAAAAAAGGCAAATTACACAGAGGAACTTATTTAATGAGATTTTGTTGCACTTAAGCACCTGAAGTGCTATCAGAGGCAATATCCTAAGCCTATCAAATCTCAGTGTTTCTGTACAACCTGTTAAGATACAAAAAGAGCTGCAGAGCAAGTAATTTATTCTTCTTTGTGAGGTATCTCCTAAAATCTTTTACTATTTTTTTTTTTTACCTTTCACAGCTGATTTTCTCTTGCGGCACTGGCTCGCCCGTCACCTCTGCTTTGTTCTCAGTTGTTCGCTGTGCAGCCAGGGAGGCTTTGGCAGAATTGTCAGGACGCACTTGTCAGCCGGCATCTTTGATCTCTCTGTTTCTCTTATTTTTAATGATAATTTCCACCTTGTTCTGGCCTAAGTCACAGTGGTTTCTGTGAGCTTTCAACTGGAGTGGGGGAAAAAGTAAACCAGAAACATGGCACTTAGCAAATGCCACAAAGTTAATGAAGGCCTTTGCCTCACTGGGGCATTTTTCCACGCATGTCTGTGAACAGTTCAGGGGAACGGACTGCTGAGCAGCTGTAAATTAGCTTTGGTTTTGTAGGGAGAAAAGGCACCATCTCCACCCTGGCACAACGTCCCCTTGCCGAGCTGCTTTGCTGAGCTCCAGCTGCTGAAAGCTGCCGCTCAGCTCTTCCCTCCCAATTACTGGGCACCAGGTTTCTGCCAGTGGGTCCTTTGGAGCGGTAAGACCCTGTTACGGGTTTGTGTGGTGCGGGTTTTTTTTTTTGGTAGCGGGGGAGGATGCCACAGGGGTGGCTCCTGTGAGAAGCTGCTCGAACCTTCCCCGGCTCCAAGCCGGACCCGCCTCTGGCCCAGGCCGAGCCCCTCAGTGATGGTGGTAGCGCCTCTGGGAGAACAGATTTAGGAAGGGGAACCTGCAGTGAGTAGGGGATTGGAATGTGAGAGGAATACCGAGGTCAGGGAGGCAGGAGGCGAGGAGGAGTGCCGGAGGCCTGCGGTGAGGCGGGAGGCTGTCCGCCCCCAGCCCTCGGGGGGAGCGGGGGAGCAGACGCCCACCTGCGGCCGGGGGAGAGAGGAGCCCACGCCGGAGCGGAGCAGGGGCCGAGTGCGGAGTCCTCCTCCCCCCGAGGAGGAAGGAGCGGCAGAGACAAGGGGTGAGGAACCCACCCCAGCCCCCGTCCCCTGTTCCCCAGGGAGAGAGAACCGGGAGCGGGGCTGAGGCGGGAAGGAGGGAGGGCTGGGGGGAAGGTGTTCTAAGGCTGGGTTTACTTCCCATTAGCCTTGTTTTGATTTGATTTGTAGTCAATTAAATTGATTTTGTTTCTTCCCCAAGTTGAGCCTGTCTTTTGCCCGTGACCATAAGTGGGGAGTGATCCCTCCCAGTCCTTGTCTCGACCCATGAGCATATTTTCTCCTCATCCCACCAGGGCCAGGAGGGGGGAAGTGAGCGAGCGGCTGGGTGGTGCTTTGTTACTGGCTGGGCTGAAACCAGGGCAGACCCCATGTGCCAGGGCTCCTGGGATGGACCCTGAGCACATAACCCTTCTGAAAGGCCCAGGGCCCTCTTTGCCCTAGTTCCAGTCTTTGGACAGCCTGCCTGGGGCTGCCGAGCCATGGCTGTGAGCACACGGTGTGAGGAGGGTGCAGCATCCAGCCCTCCCCGCTTTGACTAGCGCAGGAAACATGTTGGATGACCACCTGGGTTTTCTTACCACCTGCCTCATTTACCTGCAGGGCACAAATGTGGATTTTTTTAGACCTAGAGCTATGGCCTCATCCTCTCGCTCTTCTGTTTCTTCCACCAAAAGTGGCTTTGTTTAGGATGCAGATGTATTTTTTTTTTCTCTCTAGGCAAAATCTGGCCAGGGTTGTATTGCTTTTCAAGAGTGGCTCATTCATTGGCAGATGTAGCAGTGACAGCTCAGCTCTACAGGCATGGATAGTTTGCATGATTCAGCTGTGGTTTGATATGATCCATGGACCAACTCTCCAGCCATGGGAGATGGTGGGCTGTTGGGTGCGCTGTGTAGGTTAGCTAGGGGATCACAGTGCTAATGATGTGCAAATTAGTGAATGATTAGGGGTTTTGGCTGGGGGTGGTGGGGGGAGGGTGTTGGCATAGTTTGAGCAGGCTGTTTTTAGCATCAAGCCTATTAGGAAGACAAGACTGGCATGAAGACCTCCAGCCACTGGAACATTTACTGGCACCATAGGACTAATTGATGGTGTCCCCCATTCACTCCAGTTTTCTCTTTGAGTTTAGAAACAAAATGATGAGCATATCAAGCACCCCTTCTCTCAGCTTGTACCAGGAACCAGGGCTGTGCCTGATGACAGCACAAATCCATCTTAGCTCACTGGAGACTAATTGTGCTGTTAGTAGCAACATCCAAGGTGGATGTTAAAGATTATCTTTTGACTTGAAGTGTGTGCTATTCCCAGACTGCAGAGGTTTATAAGCGAGCAATTAAGTTGTGAGGATGGAGGGAAGGGAGAAAAGGAATTAAATCATTGGCATGGGTGCAGAAGATTAAATTAGAAGTCTCTGCATGTGATGGTTCTTAGTTTAAATTGTCTCCTGTTGCTTATGCTCAAACTGCATCGATAGAGCTGATGTAATGTGAATTTTCTGGTGAAGAAAATGTAGGAACAGGTGTTCTATAGAATAGATAACTCCGCTCCTCAGGTCCTGGCTTGCTGCTGCCTCTCTTGCCATCCAACGTCTCAGCATGCTTTTTTCCTGAACTCCAGCACCTCCTGCTGATGGAGTCTGGCCCTTTCCGCACAGCAATGCTGATCCTGCTCTTCCCTGGCCCATGCTTGGCAGCAGTGCTAAGTCAGTCAGTAAGTCAAGGACAGGGTTTTTATCTAAGTGTAGTTGTGCTTTGAGTGCTCCCTACAACGCTACATCCTCCACTGCTGAGTTTGCCAGACATCCTGCATAATACATATTACATAGTAAAACTATGTCTTGTTTTGAAAAACTCCACTTTTTCTTATGTTTTTTTTTACGGTAGCTGGCCACTTTGCTGAATGCTCAGCAGCCTATTATCAGGAACCAAGGAAAAAGGCTCCTGGGCAGGTGGAGATAAATCGCGGGTACACACCGTGGGTGCTCTGCACTTCTCAGAGCATCTCGATTCTCTGGCATGGGATACTTGCTGTGCCTGGGTGCTTAATCCCCAGGGGGCTGCCTGGGATTCACTGCCCAAGTCTGGCAGCCTCCTTCCAGCTCTGCCTGTGGCTTATGGCAGCTCTGGAATCCCACTTTTCAGCAAGGTTTGCAAGTCCCTCTTGCTGCTGTAGCTCTTGAGGAAGGGTTGGCAAAGTGTCAGATTATGGGCAAGGTTGGGTCCCCATGGGCAGAGCTTTCAGCAGTTGTCATTAACAAAGTGGTGGCATGTCGTACATTTGGTACCAGGTGGTTAGGGGCTTGCAGACCCCGCTGGTGGGCTGGTTGCTCACCCACTTCCGCCTTGGTAGAACAGGCTGAGGAGAAACTAGCAAAAGCTAATGGCAATTGCTCATAACCACTTTAAATGGTTCAGTCAATGGGGAGCTGGGGTGAGGGTTTTTGCTCTGAACTAACTGTGTGTTGGCTTGTATTAGGGGAACCCTGTCTCAAATCAAGAATGTTTTTGTTGAGGCATCATAGGAAGTGCTGCAGTAATTAATGAACACAGTTTTGCCATACTCTCTGTGGGGTAGTGTGCCTTGCAGGGTCTTTGCTTAAGGAGTTTGCATCATTGTGGCTTGTGGAGACTGTGACAATACTTATTCCTTTGCTGTGCCCTAAACCAGTGAAGCCATTTCATTTTCTGTGCAGAGCACTTAAATTTTTAAGAATCATTCTGGTTTGAGGGCTGTATTTCTTACCAGAGTTACTGCAGCATATCAGAAGAAATACTTGCACTGTGCTCTCTGGATATTCTCCTCAAATAAGATGCTCTGAACAAAAATTAATTTTGCACGCACAGAGTAAACTGTATAACTAGAAACTGCTTTAGATATTAGGAAATAGCAGACGTCAGTACTTGAGGGAATTCTGGATTTATTATAGGTAGAAGCTCTGGCTGGTAATTTCTAGCATAACTGAGGGATTTATTTTCCCCTCACTGTCTCCTTCTGAAAAATGGTGTATGCTTTCCTATAAGCACAGGGTGCTGCTCTTTAAGGGCCAGAGCCACGCCTGCTCGCTCTCAGTAAACGGCCTCATAAGCAGGCAGATATTACAGATTTTCTTATAGTCTGAGCAAGGCTCAGCAGCTCTGGAGGAGCGTGTGAATTGATGGTTTTCAGTGGACACAATTTGCAGTGGGATCACAAGTATAAAGTTTAGAGCAGCTTGATTATTTGCTGGTTTTACACAACATTTATCCATGCTTTAGAAAGAGGAATTTGCATTTAATCTCAATTTTTCCCCTCTCTCCCCTTTTACAATTAGGATTCTAGCAACTGCTGGGACTGATTTTGACCTGCGGACCCTGCGGGCTGTCCGAGTGTTACGACCCCTGAAGCTTGTGTCAGGAATCCCAAGTGAGTGTCATGATAACGTTGTCTTCACAGTCAAAGGTGCTCTAGAGCTTTTGGGGTGTTAGATGCTTTTCTGAGCAATATTTTCTTCCCCTGCTTCTCCACGGTCTGTGGCTCCTGCCCTTGCTAGGTTCTGATTTTCTGTCATCCCGTTTTGTGTACAGCCAGCCAATTTCAGCACTGCGTTCCCAAATTTGCAGGTGAGCAGCAGGGATTTGTCCTAGGGGTCCTTTGCCTTTGGGTTTGAATTAACTCCCTGGGGTGTGAAGACCTGAGACCCAAATTTTGCAGCTTTCGGGCCCCCGGCCCTGAACTTGGATCTTCTGACAGTTTTTACCAGCTGAGCATCTTGCACTGGGGATTTTACCCCTTTAATAAGGGAAAAAAAACCAAAGGGAAAGAGCAGATAAGACTTGGTCTTGTTTACTCATTGGGCAACTTGATATATCTTACATGCTAACGTAAAGGGTCTGAATGCTCCAGTGAGGAGCTGCATCATGCCTTGCTGATGCCCTGAAACCATCAAAGTCCCCACACCGTTGCTTACTGCCTTTTTATTTGTTGCTGTTCACCAGCTGCTCTGCCCGCTAGCGGGGGATCGCTTTCAGGAGTGGATTTCATTTCTGGATGTGGAACAGAGAGATTTTTCCCTCTAGCAAGAGCCAGTGAAAGGGAACCACTGCTCTGTGGGATGCTCTGCTCTTCTCTGCATTAACCCCTTGGGAGGCAGGCAGCCCCCTCTCCTCCTGGGCAGTGGGTTGGGGCATCAGCTCTGCCACCTCCCTGGCTGCTTCAGGACTGAAATGTTGGTGCTGTAGAAATCCAGCAAGGGGTTATGCTTTGCAATAACAGCACCAAAATTTCCTGAAATCAGCATCCTTTCATGGGCAGGGCTTGAATCTGAATTCCCACGAAAGAGAGGTCCTTGGCTAGGCTTGGGAAAGGTGTCACATATTAACAGGATCTCTGATACGGAGATGATGCTGGCTTTTTTTTCATGGACTTCTTGCCTGTGCAAGGCAATATGGTGTTGTGGTAGTGACAGTCTAAGGATGTCTGAGAAGTAAGGTGGCCCCTCAGGGCTATCCCTGTCCTGGTGTTACGCGTTCCCTCCAGGAGGATGTGCTCTCCTGCCTGGTGATATGTCCTGGACCAGCACAGTATTTTCCAACAGAACATTATGTGTTCCCCTGTTTTTAGTGTTGCTATGAAAGCTGTGTGCTGTGGGTTTTTTTTCCCTGTATTAAACGTACATACAATCTTGAGGTGCATTCATACAGAAGGATGGTATATGTTTTTCTTCTACACTCTCAGTATTTTTCCCTTCCAACAGATCTTCATGCTTTTTTTTCTGCATGCACCCGTATTGACCCCATTAGTGCTGTACGAGGTGGCAAGACCATGATGATCTTTCATGCTCTGTACCTTAGGACAGGACACCAAGGTGGCTTTCAGCTGCTGCTTATCACTGAAGTTTTTTTGTTATGTGCGTCTGTATGACGTTATCTGACACCTCCATCTCTCCAACCTCTCTTGCCTTATCTCCCCTGGTTTTAATTGAAAATGAGTCTTAGTGCCAGCGAAAAAGCTATGAATGGATAACCCTGGAGACAGGGATTTGTTTCTCCAGAAGCAGGGTGTGATAGGCACAGCAACATTGCAGCTATTCTGTGTGTCACAGAGGGAGAGGCAGCCTCTCTACAGCCCAGCACTCCCTGCCCTCCCTGGGACAGGGGGTACCACAGCCGTGCCCAGCTCTGCTGCTGCATCCACACTGCTGCAGGATCTGCCTTAAGGACCTGCTCCAGCTCCAAGCTGAGTCTTGGGACTCCACTGGCTTCAGGAAAAGTCCTTTTTGTGTCTCTGAAGCTTAAGAAACCTTTGAATTTGTAATCTGAAGAAAAGGGGTCAGAAAAAGATAACTCTCCTGATTGTCTCTCTCACATCTTGGGTGCATTATGGCTGTAGCATCTTTTTCATAGCATCCTGGGAAAAGCAGCATTGCTTGATATTGCCAGTCCTAAGCTATCCCTTAGACAACCCCTCTGTCCTACCTTGCCCCCAACCCCCAAGCCCTTGTTTTCCTTCCCTCACTGATTATGTGTTTTTCCTTGTCCCCACAGGCTTGCAGGTTGTCCTCAAGTCCATCATGAAGGCGATGGTGCCCTTGCTTCAGATCGGGCTGCTCCTTTTCTTCGCCATCGTGATGTTTGCCATCATCGGGCTGGAGTTTTACATGGGGAAGTTTCATAAAACCTGCTTCTCTAACGAGACGGGTGAGCTTTGAGCTTCGCTCCCCTCCCAGCATATTGTCACGATGCTTCTAGTCCCCTTCATCTCATCAGGATGCTTTCTATCTTGCTCTTATGTTGCTTTTCCTTTCTCCTCTTCCACATTCGCTGCATTCTCTCCCTCTTTACCCACCTACTCTAAGAGTTAATAGACTTTTGTGCTCACCCTACATGCACTGGGACAGATTCCCCTCTCTCTGTTACACCACTGTGGCATCCCTGATGCTAGCGGGTTGCTTTCAGTTTACACAAGAGGGAGATGAAGGTGCTTAGGGCTTCCTCTTATGGGAGAATTTTTTCATAGTAGAAATACAGAACCAAATTCCTGTTGCTCCAGCTTGTTGAAGGGTGGGTTGGTTTTTTTTTTTATTTGTTGGTCTCTGTTTACATTTTCATTGGGTTTAGCGCTATGAACAGCTGCTGAACATTGAATATCCTTGCAAGGTTTCTGGGGCAAGTTGCATGGGTATGAGAAAACTTCAGTAGGAAATAGTAAGATTGGAAAGACTGGGAGCAACCAAAAAAATAAAAAAGGACAATAGATGGAAGGCAAGGAGCCCTTTGATGGAGAAAGGATAAAAATATCCTTCAAAGAGAGAAGGGCAAGGGAAATTGGGTACTGCAGAGTAAATGATGTGTCTGCGTGTGAATGAGTGATAAACTCTGGAAGATGGAGGTGGAAGGGAGTAATGGCCAGAGACCTTTGGCTGGGACTGGCAAAGGTCCCATGTCAGAGCCAGCTGCTTGTCCATGGCTCAGAACTCATTCCCATTTAAAAAAAAAAAAAACAAGCCAATTTTTTCCATGTAATTTTTTAATATTCCTTTATAGCAGTGCTAATGTGTTGGTTATCTGGGCTATCCACAGATGAAAATATTGTTCTTGTCTCCAAAAAATTGCAATTTAAGGTACAATTGACTATCTTTAGAACAGAGTCTTGTATTTTTAGTGATTATCACTAATAGGTCTTAATATTGATTTATTTATATGCATTCAAATGGTAATAAAACAACATCCTTGCCAAATCTCTGGGCACCCTTCACAGTGCTTTCTAACAACAACATGGAAATAGTTTAATATATTCAGTTTATACAGAGCTTTGCAAAAGCAGGGTAAAATTGTTTTCTTGCTTATGTTCCTATGTAATGTTAGAAAAACATAACACAACTTGCAAAGGACAGTCAGGTGTTGTGACCTGTGAGCAAAGCATGAGGATTCCTGGAAGAAATGATTTGCTGGACTGGATTTGTTGGAGAGGAAAATCTTTTTGCGGGATGTGTGTGTTCATGCCAAGTAAAACAGGTCTCAGCCCACTGCAAGGTCTCTGGGGCTATTGCAGCAATTACAGAGGAATAATAACAATGGTGACAATATAGGTGTGTAGGAAGCAGAAGCATTCTTGGTGAGATGGCAGGGAGAAAGCAGTTATGAGCAGGTTTGCATTTTCTAGGAGCATTTTCAGGTCTGTTAAGTTGCAAACAAGGTGGGTGATGTTTGCATCCTTTGTTTGCAGGTAGCAGCTGCAGGCTGAGCTCTGAGGCTGTCTTCCTAATGGGCTGACTTTGGCCAGTGGGCTAAAGAGAACAGCGTTTTGTTTTGTTTTGTTCTGGCTTTTTTCCCCAGAAACTAGTTAACGTAAAAGGGAAAAATAAACCCCAAAGCTCATTGTGTTCTCTTGAGAAAACTCTCTGACATCAGTGATGACTGAGAGATCTCTGTGCCAGACTTGGGGACCAAGAACAGATTTTTGTCACGTGTAATGTCGTGTGTAAGTGACTTTTGCTTGCTGGGTGGCTCCCAGCTAGGAATTGGGAGTGCAGCCGAAAAACTGTTGTGTGTGTTGCATATCTCTGCATTGCAGCACCTGGCATCTCAGTGGGAGGACGTGGCGTGGCCGGGCTCACCTCCCCCTGAATCCACTGGCTGGGCGGTGTGGGAAGGCGCCTGTGTTTACAGGCACCGACCCCTGCTTTTGTCAAGGGCTAACGAGCTGGTTGTCGGATGAATTACGGGGATCGATTCCACTTTCTCGGTGGGAAATGGCACGATGGTGTTTCTGGAAAGGCAGAGCGTGGTGAGGTTTCCTGGCGCTGCGGTCCCCTGTGAGCGGAGCAGCAGAGCATCCCGCAAAGCCATCAGCCGAGCCTTTTAAAACCTAAGTGCTCATCATCTCCAAAGAGGTGCATTAACAAACCCAGGCCTGATACCACGGGCTCCAAAAGCTGGCTTGAGTGTGGAAATGTGAACCTCATTAAAGAGATGTCTCTGTCAGAGGGTAGCAGATTGGAGGAGGAGGAGTTGCTCATGATTGTTTCTGTTCCAAATTCCCAAAGTGAGCAAACTCCTGGGATTTTTCCTGGAATCAGGAGCCACGTGAGAGGTACCAGCTGTTACTTCAGCACATCGTGGAGGGAACCGAGTAGAGGTGTCAACAGCAAATGTTGCTGTAGCCCTGCTAATCCAGTAGCCCTGGGTAGGTCGGTAATAAACTGCAACAGAGGGTTGCTGGGGACCAAAATATGGCAAAAGGGTTATTCAAGGCCTTTGCCACTCAGCCTGACTGACTGTTCTGAGCTAGTGGAAACACTTCTCTGTTTTAATGAAAAATGGGTAAAAATTAATGGCAGCACATGTTCCAGTGGATGTCTGACTTGTTTTCCCCTCCCTGCATCCTCCATGCTCTCCTGTTCTGCTGACACAGGATTATTTTAAGCAGCCACCTTCCACAGCTGACCCAGCCCAAGTGCCCTGAAGCTGCTCCAGCAGAGGAGGGCATCACATTTGTTTCCCATTTTTCCTTGAGACCACTTTTCTCTGTCTTCCCCAGCCATGGGAGTAGGGACCAGTTCTAGTGCCTTTTTTAAAAAGGAAAAAACCACAACCCTTTTGTTGTGGTTTAACCCCAGCCAGCAACTAAGCACCACGCAGCCGCTCACTCACTTCCCCCCCCACCCAGTGGGATGGGGGAGAAAACTGGTAAAAGAAGTAAGACTCTTGGGTTGAGATAAGAATGGTTTAATAGAACAGAAAAGAAGAAACTAATAATGATAATGATAACACTAATAAAATGACAACAGTAATAATAAAAGGATTGGAATGTACAAATGATGCGCAGTGCAATTCCTCACCACCCACCGATTGACACCCAGCTAGTCCCCAAGCGGTGATCCCCCGCCCCCACTCCCCTCAGTTTATATACTAGACGTGACATCCCATGGTATGGAATACCCTGTTGGCCAGTTTGGGTCAGGGGCCCTGGCTGTGTCCTGTGCCAACTTGTCGTGCCCTTCCAGCTTTCTCGCTGGCTGGGCTTGAGAAGCTGAAAAATCCTTTACTTCAGACTAAACACTACTTAGCAACAACTGAAAACATCGGTGTTATCAACATTCTTTGCATACTGAACTCAAAACATAGCACCTTACCAGCTACTAGGAAGACAATTAACTCTATCCCAACTGAAACCAGGACACTTTGTAGTAGATGTGCATTGCATTTTCAGAGCATTACCCTGCAGCAAAAGGCCAAACAGAGATAAAAAGGGATTCTCTTTTAAAGCACGCTCACAAATGGTCTGCAAGAGCCAGATTTGGTATTTTCTTTTTGCAGACTTGACTTTTTTCCCTTGTGAAAGCCTGTGGTGACCCATATGGGAACTGGAGAGAGATGCCCTGCATTAAGGTGTTGAGTCAACAGGAAAGCGCGTCACACCCACCCCCACCTCCTCATTAGCCCCC